ATAAAATTATCTTTGTTTTAATTGAAGAATCTAACTTGATAAATAATTAGTTTTCTAGAAAGAAATAAAATTTTATTGAACTAAAATGTATTTTCAATTTTTTATATTTCTTTATATTTGATTTCCTTTAAATTGCAACCAGGAAAAAAGTTTTAGGTTTTCTAACTGTTATATACCTTTATGACTCTATATCATCATCTACATTAGCACCGATATAGCTATTCTCTAATCAACTGATTATCAAATTAAAATCACTTTGAATTGAAGGAGTATATTGGAGACATGAAAAATATCAAGCAATAGAATCAAGCCTAACACTTATTTTTTCATATTTACACGTAGCTTTCCTGAATTCAATCAACCTAATAAACCAACAGATGACTTGATTATTCTTCCAAGATTTTAAAATGGTATTATTGTTTGATATTGAAATAGCATCGATGCTAATAATGTAGGATTAGTTGATCTTATACTTCATTTTCTAGAGGTTAAGAATTTAATTTAAATTCAAGTAACAAGTAATACGAACGTTTAAAAGAAAATAATTTTTATTCAATAATCAATTCACAACTTTCATTTTATTAAGCTCTTCTCACATTCTAAAATACTTAAAATAACAATGTATACCTTCTTTATTCTAGATCCATTCCCTATTTGGAACAAGCAAAATAGCTTAATTAAAATATGATATAGCCTCCTCATGCTTTAATAATTTCCATAAACATTATCCTTTATAAATAGATAAAAAATACCTTTATTGTATAAAAATCTTGCATCATTCGGTCTAATCTTTAGAGCTTGGTCAAAAACTTGTAGAGCTTCAGAAAATTAACCCAAAAATTTTAATGAATTACCTAGATAAGTTACAAAGAAATGCCTTTCAAAAATAAGGATTCTAAATCATTCGGGGAAATTGACAAAGCTTTATCTGCCCATATAACAGCATCTTTATAATTTTCAAGCAATCCTAAAATTTAAGCTATTATATTTATTTAGCTTAGTATACCTTTTATACTAAGAGATCTAATATGGTTTTAATTGATCTGTAAAGCTTTTTCGACCTCTATAATAGACTTCTTATAATTAGAACAATACATTAAACTCTTAGCTATATTTATAAAAGATTTATATACCTTTAACACACATCGATTTAACGTTCTTTGAGTCTAAATTTAAAATTTGATTAGCCAAATGGATTGCCTCTTCGTATTTTCCAAGCATTTATATGCATTTAGCTAATTCATAGTTATTTGATAATACACCTTTTATAAATAAAGTATCAATATGTGTAGAATCAATACTTAGAACTTAATTAGCCCATATAATTGCTTCTTAATACTAACCAAGCTTTCTTAAACTGCAAGCTGATACTTTTAAATATGATTCACATACCTTTTATATATAATATATTAATGTTCTTTGAATGTAAAGTCAAACTTTTCTCAGCCTATTCTAATGCTTCTTTGTATTTTTGAACTTTCAATAAGCATCTGCCTATCATATCAAAACGTGTTTACATTTAGCCACCAATGCTTCCATATGATTGGAATCTATCATCAAAGCTTTATTGACCCAAATCAGTGCATCGTTGAATTGGTTAAGATCCATTAAAATTTAACCTTATAAATTCGTCTTAATTAATATACCTTTTAATCGAAGTGATTCGACATGCTTGGAATCAATAGATATTGCTTAATCAACCGATTATACTGCTTCCTAGTATCTTCCAAGCATTCTTAAACTTCGCGCTTATATATTAATAACATTGATATACATCTAGTACATATCGACTACACATGCTCGGAATATATGGATAAAGCTTTTTCAGTTTATATTATTGATTCGTTGTATTTTTTAAGAAATCCTAAGCAAAGTGCTAAATTAATTATTTTTATTTTTTATACCTTTTAAGGCTAGTGATTCAACATGGTTTTCACAGATAAGCAAAGCCTTATCTGCATATTTAATTGCCTTATCGTATTATCCAAGAAAGTTTAATGCTTTAGCTAAATATATATCTAAGACTTTGTACCTTTTACATATAATGATTCTACATGCTTTGAATAACAAGACAAAGCTTAGTCAGCCCATATCACTGAATCATTGCAATATCCAAGCATTGCTAAGCAATTAGCTAATATAAGGTTTTTGATTTAAATACCTTTAAGGCATAGTGCCTCAACATTTTTTGAATCAATAGACAAAACTGTATCAGAGCATTTAATTGCATCGTTGTATTTTCCAAACATTCTTAAAAACTGAGCTAATGTATGTTGCTGATGATAATACCTTTTATTAGTATTGATTATTAATAATTCTAATTAATCAATTATTTATTGTCTAATAACTTTAATGCTACATTATAGTTATCAACTTCTTGATTCGAATTAATTATTTGATGATCATGTTAATTTTCCTTTTAGATATCTTTCTCTATCTCTAGTCCAAGATTTAGAATTTTTTCGGACAATAAGTTTATCATATATTTTTGACATTCTTTCACATTGTACAATAGATCAGTTTCTATTTCATCAAATTTTATTATTTATTCAATTACTTCGTTCATTTGCCCTTAATCCAACTTTGTCAATCTCTCTAGAGATATTGAATATTTTGCTTTCAATCCTTAAAATAATTAAGCAGATAACTCATCAATCTCCTTAATCATCTAATCTAAAGTTCTTATTAAATTTTCGCACTTCTGTTTAATTTTGAAGATGTGTTCCTCTAATTTATTTATATTTTATTAGTCTTGTATGTGAGGAGAGTGATGTCCTAATTTTAAACATTCGAGACAGTAAATTCTATTAGCTTTGCATTCCTTATTAAAACAAACTAAGTAAGCTAATTCATTTTTTTCCTTAGGACATTTGATAAGATGATTTTGCATAAATTATTTATTAAAGGTATTTCTATATCTATTAAATTTATGTATATTTATGAATTATATTATGATAACTTAATCAAATTTTATTTTCAGCAAATGATTCAACTTTTTGAAAATGCTTTATAAAACTAAATGAATTCTTTCAAATATCAAATGCAGTTATTAAGATGATAATAATTTTCTAAAACGTTCTTCAGAATTTTGTGTATTCCAACTATTTTAAAGTTCTATATTAATAGCAAACACAACCCATTCTCTGTTTTATTTGGATTAATTAATCTGGTACCAAAGTTTAATCTAGAAAAATTTCTATTTAAAATAAATTGTCTTTTATTATTATTATCTATTTTTATTACCTAATTATTTAATCAATTAGATTTTTTTGTACATTGAGGTATGAATAAACAAGTGTAGTGTCAATGAATTCTGTGGGGATGTATAAATTTAAGTTAAATTACAAAACTTTAGAAGTAAAATAACAAGAATTTTAAATAGAATAAAGAAAAGTCATTTTGTCTGTGATTATTGTTCAAGTGCTATTTGATTAAATAAATTAATAATAAAACCAATATATCTAACAATTTATTGTCAGTATTAAAATAATTCTCCATAAGTCACTTTAATAGATTAATCAAATTTTTTATAGGAGTAGATCATCGAATGGATAAGATAATACGCCTTAGCTAGAATTATTTCCAATGAAAAAGACTATTTTGAAGCAAACATAATTACTAAATATTTTAAATTAGGATTAAGCCAATATCATAATATTTGAAGAAACAGTATTTATTTATTAAGTTACATTTTAATATAATAATATGAGTTATTTCTTTTGATTTGGATAAATATATGAATTGAGCATTTCTATCTAATTTTGAATAAATTTTAGATTTACAATTAAATTAATACAATTTATTTGGTCTTAAATAACTTTAATTAAATAAAAACATGAAGATATATTACTCTCTTCTGCAATTTATATTTTACATTGCATAGTCTTAAGAATCATGGAAAACTATTTATTAGGAATTTACAGGTTCAAATTGGGATGCTTCAAGTAATTTAACTTTTAATTAGGATGGTACATCTCTACTTCCTACGCTCGTCCATTTAGCCAGTGCGGAAATTAGAAGCTATTTGGAGGAGATTCAGTTTTCGGTATTGATACATTAATTTCTACACAATTTGCTCTTCCTCCTCATTATTAATTACGAATATCATTAGATTTATGGAAGTACTAAATATGTTATTGTTTTGAGTTGATAGTTGGGATGGCGAGATATTGAAAATGGTATTTGATAGTGAAATTAGGTAAAGGTCATTTATTTTAACTGATGGATAATAAATTTGTGGCCGAATAGACCCCATTTTTTTAGAATATAATACCCCTATTGTAATTACTGTATCATATCACAATTCCAAATCTGTAGTTATCATAATGACTTCAACTTTGGATTAGTCTGAAAAAGATGTATTATAATTGTCTTAATTTAGGAATCATGGGGATTTTAAAATTTATAAATTGAAATTTTAGAATGTCCTCCAGGATGTGCATTCTGCTCAGATTCAACATCATAATGTAAATTTTGGAAAAATGTTGAATCCTATTAGTTTGGCAAATCTACAGAAGAAGGATGGCTGATTGATGGGTCTTAACAAATTACTTCAAGTTTTTGCAATGGTGTAAGAATATTAGGTGGGATTAATATTCTATAAAAAGGATAAGGAGTAGTCAACCTTATGGAATCTCTAGTTCCTCACTTTAAAGTTCAGATAATGGTCAAAATATGGGTAATTGGAGAATGGTAAAATGAAGAATTTGCTTTTGAGATTGATGGTTAACTATACGATGGAATCACAATTGTTTCTGACGATTTTATTTATCCTAATTGCTAAAAACAAAAAGTGAGAATTCTTAACGTTGATGTAAATACATTTCATTCCTCTCCTTCTATTAAATTATCAATGAAAACTAGTAAAAATATCGAAGCTATAGCACATTGGGGATTTTAATCAACTGAGATGTTTATTGCTATATGCGCAAGTAGATGTTAAACATGCACAGGAGAATTAGATTCATAATGTGTTATATGCCTAGAACCATGGATAAAAATAAATATTGGATGCATAGGTATCTATTATATTCTTTAAATAAGCCCCTCCTTTAGAATGCTCTTAAATTCAAATTATTGAATAATAAAATAAATAAGTAGATCTTAAGAACTCATTTCAAATAAACATTGATGAATTGGCTTAAAATTTGGGAGAGATCGGTTAAAAAACAGTTACTATAGATAAACTTATTTACTCTATTAATTTTTAGATTTAAGTTAGATGTTCAGAATAAAAAATAGTATAAAGCTTTTTCAGAAGTTGTTAATAATGTTATGAAGACTAATATAAACTTTCAAATTAATGTCCCAATAAAAGCAACATTTTAAGATACAATGCAATATTTCATTAGGTTATGGAATAAGAAAAAGTATTAATAATAACTATTTCTGAATCAAAATTGTAAATTCTTTAAGTATTATCAACTGAAGAAGAGTCAATTCAAGTTTTAATTTTGTAAATTTAGATTTGAATCATGATTTTATTGACATATCCAAAGTTATACGTTAAATTGCATTTTTTTGATCATTCTAAATAGAGATTATAGTAGTAATGATCAAAAATGATATCATGTTCTGCAAATCGTGATTGTTTAGTGAACATTTACAGCATAATAATAACTTGTCTACCAGGGTATTAAATAATATGTCTTTAGAACATTATGAATTTAGAATCGGTAGAATAATAAGGAACATTCTAATTCAATTAATTTTATATGTTATCCAGTTTTATACAATAATATTACTACCAATCAATTGATATAATTGATAATATTTTAGGAATAATTTTTGAAATAATTATTATTATAAATGAATTTGGATTGAATGAAAATTATTGTTTCTAACTTCAAAATCAAACTAATGAAGATAAAAAATATTATGAAGATCCTTTTAGAAATCTGACTCCGTGATGTTTCACCATCTTTAATATTTTTAATTGTTTATTGAATGAAAAGGTTGTATGATAGCTCTGCTATCATTTCTGAATGATTGAAATAAATAATTAGATTATAATGTGATTTAAATAAGGCCGCAACGTTTATTGCAGTAGTTTGCTGACAGATAAACAATACTTTTCACACAAAGAACTTCGATTGTTATTTTTCATTGATAATTTAATGCTAATTATTATAGGGCATATATTTAAGAAGTGGAATTCAAGAATTTTTGGAATAAGCATTCTTTTAAATTGTTTTCCCAAATCTCAATAAATGATCTGGATTGCGGTAAAGTATATCTCAATAAATAAAGATAATTAATAGTATTTAAATTGAATTTTGCAATATTTATATTAGATTTTTACCATATTTTTTTATTATGTTTTAACCAAAAATGATAGAATTAGAAGAATAACTCAATTGCAGCAAAAATCATAAACAACCTATTCAAATAGTTATTTTAGAGAAAAACTTGAAGAGAGAGGAACACCTTTTGTGTTCTATTTGTCTGGAAAATTTTGAATCAGATACTAAAATAATTGGATTTAAAAAAGTACTCTAAATGATTCAAGAAAACTAAAAAAAATAAGAAGAAAATAAATAAAGATTAATTAAAAAAGATGCGGAATTGATAGAATAATTTTTGAACGAACTCCATACATTAAGATCATACTTTATCTTATAATTTGATGAATTGATATCTAATTCAGAAGAGTGGATCAATAGTCTTAATGCTATTGGATAACATAATGTAAACTATAGCTTCTTTGATGAATTAGATATAATTATTGATAGTAGAATTGAAAACTAATTCAATTAAGCGTCAATAGTTAATAAAATCAAAACACTTAATAAATCATTTTGTGACAAAATTGATTTGAAATTATCTACTCTTAAGAACTAAGAAATATATTCATAATGCGACAATATTATAACCAATTTAAGTATGATTCATCATATGAAATTAATTGATAATTCAATAAAGCAATCACTTGTATGCTATGCAATTTCTTTTAATTAATCTGGATCACTCATGATTTCAACTTCTAATTAGGACATTAAAGTATGGAATTTTGAATAAGGTAGAATGAATGAAATTAACAAACTTAGTGGACATACATAATCTATATCTTGCCTGTAATTTAGCAAGTTTAGCAATAGTTTCGTATCGACAGATTTTGATAAATCAATTAGATGTTGGAAATAAATTAAATAAAATGAATGGTAGAGTTCCTAACCCTATTGTTAACATACTAATGGTATAAATTGTTTACTTTTAAATCAATCTGAAAATACACTTGTTTCTGGAAGTCAAGATAAATCAATTAAAATTTGGAATATTGATTTTGTTGATAATTAATTAACTTATCTTTATCGTTAGATAAACATACAGCTAATGTTTATGGTTTATCCTTGAATTAACCAGAAGATACTTTAGTTTCTTGTGGGGGTGATAAATAAATAATCATTTGGAAGAAGATAAACAAAGAACAAAAGTGGTAATTTGAAGATGTAGTTATTTAATCAACTTAAGAAGTTGGATGTAGATTAAGCTTCTTAAATGATTCCTAATTTATTTGGGTGACAGGAGATAAATTAAGTAAGGATTGCATCAGTACATTTGAGCTCAATAATGAAAATATCAAGAAAATTTGAAAAAAGAAGTAAAATTAATTCAAAATACTAATGATTTGGATCTTTGTTTTTTTCCAATCTTTTAAGACAAAAAAAACAATGTAATTATTGTTAAACATAAATGTTATGTTTATGTGATCAATGTATCGAAAGAAGGCTAATTGACAATTATCACTTAGTGTAAATACGAATCAAATAGTATCTAAGGAGCATTAACTAATGATGGAAAATATTTAGTAACTTGGGATAAAGTGGGCCAAAAATATAATACTTATGAATTATAAATTTATTGAGTATTGTGTATAATAAGTAAATAAGTAGAGCATCAAATTAAGATTCTAAAAAGTCCAAGAAAATTACTAGCCAGTATTCCTTACATAAAAACCATCAAACTAGAAAGATCTCTCAAACATTAACAACTTTCAAAATGAGAAAGTCTAACCCATAAACCCTTTCCCTCAAAGTAATTTATTTTTGAAAAATCCAATTACTATAATCATTAATTTATTCTTTCGTTTTATAGAATTAGATTCAGGTTATCTGAATCCAAAAATTTCAGACAAATAGATAATCTTCAAGTTCAGAGTTTTGAATCGTGCCATAGAAAACAGATATTTTAATTTTGTCAATAAAGAGCATGTTTGGTCAAAATTATAACTTATAATTTACATTAACAAGACAAATATGATATGATTGTTATAACACAAAAATACAATTACAATTAGGTTTACCAATATATTCAAATTCAACTCTTAAGCATACCTAACTGACTATTAATAACTATAAAATTAAAAAAGAAGAAAGAAAGATGCTTTTTGTATGATAGAAATTTTTAGAAGTAGGAATCAAATTACAAAAAGCATCTTAATATGACATGCATTGAAAATCTATATGTTACCTTCTAAAGTGTTCAATATTGAATCAATCAAAACAATTATAAATTTAAAAACAATAGAATCCTTTGGTTAATTCTGATTTCAATGATCTAAGAATCACAATATATTAAGTAACCCACATAAATGGCTTTAGATTTAATGTCTAAATGTTAAAGATCAATAAAAAAAAAATATTACTAATGGTAATATATTAACACCATTTACAATCTTTTAATTTATAGCAGAATTCCACTTAATGAATGTGTTTGCGCTACTCTGGAGAGTTGAATTCTTATACCTTAAGAACTTTATACCCATCTATTCTGCTTAGCAGCTACAAATATTTCTTAGGCTTATAATGTATAATTGAGTTTAAAACACAATATGAATAGGATGTGATCTTTGAAAAATAAATAATTACATCTACAATTAAGAAAAGTAGCTATTTAAATATATAAAATTGACACAACTAAACAAAATAGATATAACAAAGACCTTTGCTTTAAATAATCTTTATGAACAGACTAGATGACTTAATCAATTGTTATGTCGATGTCAAAATTTCAGAGCTATAGTTTAGCGGTTGAGATGTATGAATTTATAATGTATTTTAAAATCACGAGAGTGAATAATAATTAATTTTATTTAAATATAGTCATTCAATTGCTTTTCTTACTTACAATTATTTTTATTGGTTATCCCAGGTTATTAAATAGTATCCATTTGAACTCATCGAACCAAAAAGAGAATTATGTTAAAATTTTATTGAATGATCTAATTTAAATTGTTATGTTTCATCTTTCTTTAAAATATTTATCGAACATCCATTTTTGGCTATTAATATCTATTATTTGTGTAAATATTATAAAGGAAAATAACAGACATCTTCTTCACATCCATTAATTTATAAATCATATTTTTTCTAGTATAATTAAGTTTTATCATTTATAATAAAAAATGATAGCAGACCTTTTTGAAGTGGTTGAAATGAAAAGCAATTTTCAGAAGTAAAAGATAATCTAAAACCCCCTGTCTCTGTTTAAATTCTTTGAATTTAAATCCATAGATTATGCTCTTTCGAATATCTGAATATTAAAATGAATTTATCATGGCCGCATGATATTAAAGTGTTTGATGACTCCTCTAAGCTAAGAGCAAACACCCAATTAGAATGATCGGCAATTATTTACTAGCATTTCCAATCTTTATCCATTTTCCAAATTCTAATTGTATTATCACACCCACTTGAAATTATGAGGTTATCTTCAATATTCAAAATTAAGCATCTAATGTAATATGTATGACCAAATAATTTCTGTTAGCTAATATATTTTTAATCCGAAGTACGCGACCAGATAATAATCGAATTATCACTGCTTGATGATATAAATGAATTAGATTGATGCATGAATATCAAGGTATCAACATAACCTGAATGCTCATTTAAAACTACTATTGGTTTAAGTACTTCCTTGCTGAAATCAAAAACTTTAATGGCAGTATTACAAGCAGCAACTACTAACTAGTTATCTTAACTTATTGCAATTGCTTAGCATAATTCTGGTTATGTTATTGAAATCTTTGATAATAATTCATATTTTGCCACCTAATTAGCGTATTTCTTGCTTTCATTGCATAAATGATGTGATTATTATTATCCCATAAATTTTTATTATGTTGGTTATAAATAAAAAAATTTCATATATATATATATGGAAGCATTATTCCACTAATAGTTCAATATAGTTAGTATATTTACATTTAATAATTTAAAGGGATACAATGATTAATATAAAATAAATTAAATATACCTTTGAGTTTTGATCAAATAGGTTTAATTGTTTTCAAATTACTTGCTTAAGATCAGTCTATACAATTGTTTAATAGCATCCTTATTATCTATTTTCATAAAACCCAAATTCTGCTTATTATGATCAATACAAATGTTTAGTTATAATAATTCCAAAAGGATGTAGTATTATAAAATTTCAATATTTATTTAACAAAGAAATTGAAATAAATATTTACTCTCAAATAATAGGTAATCTATAATTTTATTTGTTTAGAATGATTATTAAGTAAATCAAAAGATAAAAGAGATGAATTTAATCAAAATTTATATCCACCTTTTAGCATAAATGATTCTGTTATTATTAGGTGATAGAATCATTGACTTTCCCTCTCATGTTTTTGTTCTTCTCAATCTGCAGACTGATCCTCATTTTATATAGATGTTTCAGAGCATCTAGTTATCTGCTAAATAGTCTCATACACGATGGACAAACCTATCTACCATGCCTCTACCTTCATATCTTTTTTCATTCTTGATTATTTCCTCTTGCAACTAGTAATCTTATATTTTATCTTAGGAAGCTAAAAAAGGGATGACATTGTTCCATTTTTCTCCATAAGATCAATATTCCCTAATTTTAATGAAGGTCCCTACACGTCTACCTTGGGTACATCCATAAACCAACCTAAACTATTGACAATATCCAAAATTGCTACTTTGGCATCACAAGTACATCTAAAATTTTCTAGTGAGCCCTATTACTATTATTCAAAAATCTATTCCATCTGTTCAGTATTACTTTTGAATTTTATCTACCTATTCCCCCGCATAACAGATCAATTAAGCGGCTGTTCCTCTATTTATTCTTCTGATGCTTCACTTTCCTATTCCTCCACCTCTTTCAAATTTTATAATATTCTTTTTCTCCTTAACATGCGTCAATCAATTATTTCTTATAATTACTATCCGTTGGGTTTGGGGTTGGGGTTGGGGTT